TGATCCACCTGCCTCTGCCTCCCAAAGTGCTGGGATTATAGGTGTGAGCCACCGTGCCCAGCAAAGTTCTTAACTGGTAGTATAAAGCTTAATATGTGCTATAAAAGATTGCATGAACCAATATGGCTTGTTTTTGAGACGGAGTCTTGGCTATGTTGCCCAGGCTGGAGTACAGTAGCACGCGATCTCAGCTCACTGCCACCTCTGCCTCCCCGGTTCAAGCGATTCTCCTGCCTCAGCCTCCACAGTAGCTGAGATTCAGGCATGCCCCATCATACCTGGCTAATTTTTGTATTTTTAGTAGAGACATGGTTTCGCCATGTTGGCCAGGTTGGTCTCGAACTCCTGACAGGTGGTCTGCCCACCTTGGCCTCCCAAAGTGCTGGGATTACAGGCGTGAGCCACCATGTCCAGTCCAATATGACTTTTGTATTACACAGCTTATTGTATTTGTCACTCATACATAAACTCATTCATGTTACAGAAATACAGGTGGTAGCAGTATACATAGTTTTTTGTGTTTTTTTAAGTGTGTATTTTCTCATCTTGCATGGTGCATTTCTACTTAGCTGATTTTTCTTCTTAGAAAAACCAATTATAGCTCTGACTACAGGCTGATTTGAGTGTAAAAAAAAAAAAACTTTAAGGTGTTAATTTAAATGCTTTCCCTAGATGCTATCTTACTAATTTATTTTCCCCTTTTTTCCCAGCCTGTCTCGATATAGATTGAAATTTAGCGCTGATAAAGTAGACACAATGATTGTTCAGGCAATTTGTAAGTATAGTACATGCAAAGTCTGATTTGTTGCTCTGTCCTTCATGCGTTTTCATACTGTTGAAACTGTATCTTTTATGATTCTATCTGTTGAGAAAGAGAAAGGAGGCCAGGTGCGGGGGCTCACGCCTTTAATCCCAGCACTTTGGAAGGCCGAGGTGGGCAAATCACCTGAAGTCAGGAGTTCAAGACCAGCCTGGCCAACATGGCAAAACCCTGTCTCTACTAAAAATACAAAAAAATTAAATGTGCATGGTGGTGTGCACCTGTAATCCCAGCTACTCAGGAGGCTGAGGCAGGATAATCGCTTGAACCCAGGAGGCAGAGGTTGACTATTTGGAGATTATATGAATCACAGAGTTAACATTACGTTAATTCATTTCTGTTTTTCCATGAAAATGTTAAAAACATAAGTGGAATCTTTGTAGTTGTATGTTCTGCTGTGTCATTAAATGATTTTTAGAAAGCTGAAAAGCTGCCAGGCACAGTGGCTCATGCCTGTAATCCCAGCGCTTTGGGAGGCTGAGGCGGGAGGATCACCTGAGGTCAGGAGTTCGAGACCAGCCTGACCAACATGGAGAAGTCCCGTCTCTACTAAAAGTACAAAATTAACCAGACTTGGTGGTGCATGCCTGTAGTCCCAGCTATTTGGGAGACTGAGGCAGGAGAATCACTTGAACCCTGGAGGCAGAGGTTGTAGTGAGTCGAGACAGCGCCATTGCACTCCAGCCTGGGCAACAAGAGCAAATCTCCATCTCACAAAAAAAAAAAAAAAAAAAAACTCAAAAATCTTAATCATATTTCTGTTTTAGAAATGCATTTGGCCTTGGCTCACGCCTATAATTGCAACACTTTGGGAGGCCAAGGCAGGTGGATCATCTGAGGTCGGGAGTTTGAGACCTGGCCAACATGGTGAAACCCAATCTTTAGTAAAAAAATACAAAAATTAAGGCCGGGCGCGGTGGCTCAAGCCTGTAATCCCAGCACTTTGGGAGGCCGAGACGGGCGGATCACGAGG